ATACTCATTGCGGACCTAAATGGAGCACCATGTTTACATAATAACTTTAATTTGAATAAAGTATCGCCCATGTCAAACAACTGGTTCACACTCACCTTTCAGATCTGCGTTAACGCCGAGAAATAAAACGGAAATGAAGAGAAAGGTTGACCTGGTGTAGGACTTCATGATCGCTGTCCAGAGGAAAGCAGCGACACAGTTAGATTCAGTCTCTTGCTGTTATTGTTGTTTAAAAATAGGGGCAAAAACAACTAAGAGGGAAGTGGTAGGGGAAAGTCCCCGCCCCCCTCGAACTTTGACCGTCTCATAAAGCTCCACACACACGTGCGGAGTGCCTCACTACGGTTTTCGCCTCAGATACTGATGGTTGAGTTGAAAAAATATGATCCTGGCCAATCTTTTTTCGTATAGCTTCCTGTCATTGTGCAAAAAGTTATTCACATGCTTCTCCCTTGTCAGTGGTCTGATGATAAAGCAGCTTCAACTGCATGTTTAATGACCATTACAAAGCCTTTTTCCTTGAACCCCACAGGGGCCTTGAAGAGGCTTCTGTGTTCAGCTCAAGAGCAGACCTTTGCTCCCATTAGTTCTGTTTCGACTAATGATCTCACAAGTCAAGAAGCCTTTCCCTGATGCTTATCCCTTTCTTTTTATTTGAATAAAATTGTCTTCTTTTGTCAGTCACTCCAAAGCCAAAATATTACTTTATTTTATTACTTTAATTTATAAAAAGTAAACCACTTTGAAATCAAAGCGGTGGATTGACTAAAAGTATCAGGGATGTTTAAGCGGCACAGACTTGGCTTCAGTAATCAGTGTGTTAGGAGTCAAACAAGCTTAAGGTAAGGCAGCACAACTGGACCATGACCTGAATGACTGCAAACCTACCTGGTGGTATCTGTTTATCTGTACCAAGGCTGCGGTACAGATTACTGATGTAGGTCATATGTTAGCATTACAATAAAAGTGTGATAAATGATTAGATTTATTTATGATGTTTTGAAACAATAGTGTTACCGGGCTTCAAATGAATCCAATGTGTCAACACCAGAGATACCAAAACAGTATTCTCTGTTGATAAATGCCTTTAAAATGACATCAAGGTACATGCAACAGACAAATTGGGAGTTTTCCCCAAGAGTTCAAAAAGTGAAAAGTGTTCAGGTGATCCTGCCTCTTACAGCACTCAAATGGAATAAATGCTGGCTGTTTGACTAATTTACATAAACATGAATGCAAGTAATACATTTTTTTTAATAGTTCAAATCAGAAGGAAAAACTGTCAAAGCATCTCAGTGCATCTTTTGGTTGTAGAAACATCCTCTATCAGAGCTTAACAAGAGACCCCTGGGCTCATCAGCTGACCCAATGATCTTGGAAATTAGCTCATTTCACGAACTAAAATGGAATTCAGCCAGCACCAGGAGTCGAACCAAGATTCCCCTGATCCGTAGTCAAACGCAAAAAACAAACATATTGAGTACATCGCTTGCATTAGTCTGCATCTCTCGCCCAATAGGCTTCGCCCCTCTCCATTGTCACATTGACCGTTTAGCCAATGTTGAAC